CTGCCCACCATCTCTCCCCCAGGTTTCCCTACCCTTTTACTCATAATAAAGTTTTCCTGCATCCAAGTCTTGTCTCTTTGTCTCCTTTTCCCAAGTCAGAATGATCCCGGGCAAGGGGAACTACCAGGAGTGCAGGTGAAATTTTTTTTTGGTATGACTGAGGGAAGTGGTAATGGAAGATCGAGAAGAAGTTAAAATGGAAGAGGGAAGGGAACTGTGGGCATTAAAGAGGAGAAGAAAATTATATCAAATAGGAAATGGGAATAAAAGACAGAGAATGCTGGAAATAGGTCAGGTTAGGAGAAGAGGAATAGGGAGAGGAAGAAGAAGGAGTAAGAGAAGCAGGGGTAGCGKAAGGAGAASCAGAAGGAGGCTTCCTCTTCCCTATGCCYTGWRAATTATATTGCCTYGTATTCAGCTTCTTCTGCTTYTTCTCATTCTCGTTCTCATTCTCCWGCTTCTCCTTTGGCTTTGCRTTCACCTTYGCCATCTCRTTCTCTTTCTCCATTTCTCTTTCTGCTTCTTTTTCTTTCTTTTTCTTTCTATTTATATTTCWCCCTCTCTTTGATTTTCATTTTTTCCACCTTATCCTTCCTTGTCTTTCTCCTTCTTTGTATGTCCTCTTCCTATTCTCCTCTTGCATATTCTTGCCCATATCTTCATTTCTTAGTTCTTGTTCCTTTCTTTCTTCCTTCTTCATTCTTTCTTCTTTCTTCCTTCTACTTCTTCTCCTTCCTCTCCCTTTCCTGCTCATCTTYSCCTTTCCCTTATCCTTTTCCATTTCTCGGTCAACTTCTTCTTCCTTCTTTGTCTTTGTACTAATATTTCCACTTTTCCTTCTTTTACATCTTGTCCTACTTGTCCTTCTTGTCCTTCTTTCTCATTCCCCTTCTTTTTGTTTCCCCTTCTTATTCTCCTTGTACTTGCCCTTGTCTTTCTCCTTATTTCTTCTTCTTCTTCTTCTTCTTCTTCTTCTTTTCCTTCCTCTTCCCCTTCTCCTTCTCCTTACCCTTTCACTTCTCCTTCTGTTTCCGCTTTTTATGGTCATTGTCCTTGCCCTTACATGTGCCCCTTATCTTTCTTCTTATTTCTTCTTCTCCTTGTCCTACTAACTTTTTCATTCTACTCGTTCTCCCTCACTAGCCCAAACCATTCCCATTGTTCTTCTGCCTTCCTTTCCACTTTGATACCTTTTTCTGCTCAATTTTAACCTCCACTGTGACCTTCACTCTTCTACTTTACCTTCCCTTTGACCTTACATGTTCCATTCCCTCCCACTCTTGTGACTCCCCCATTATGGGGCTCTTTGTTATTTGGAAAAAAAATGGGTTTAAGACAAGACTTGGATGCAGAAAAACTTTATTGTGAACAAAGGGGAGGCTGGGAGAGAGACAGTGGGCAGGAGCCAGCCAGGCTGGGTGTCAGGGACTGCCAGAGCCCAAGACAGCTAGAGCTTAGCCCAAATTTTCCATGCTGGGTTGAGGCCACCGTGGGTGTTTGAGGTGGGCTGTTGGTGGTGGCTCTAGCAGGGCCCGCAGGTGTCCCAGAGCTTCTTGCTGTAGCGGGGCACGACGCAAGGGCTGCAGG